TATTTATCTATAGTTAGGAGGGGAGGGGAACTGTGGTTTCTGGCGTCCAAAACATACGTCTTCAAGCAAAGTTCTCTTTTTTGGATTGCCTTTCAGTGGTTGGCCAATCCATTGCATGAATCCAATTCTGGCCCAGCAGCCCCTGAAGACCAACAAGATTCCCAGGGCAGAAGCTTCCAAGAGTCACAGCTGCCTCCCTTCATCAGATGTTCACCAAATGCTTCAATGTGATGCCAGCCCAAGGCAAGGCAAGTCATGTCCAGGGGCTGTGTGGCAGACAGAACCTGTGGATTGCAGAGTCCACTGAGAGCAGGATGGCCAACCTCCGGGTGAAGTGTGCAGATCTCCCAGAATTGCAAAAGATCACCAGATGAAAGAGATCAGCTCCCCTGAAAAACATGGCGACTTTGGAGGGGGGACTCTGTGGCATTATACACTGCTGAGGCCCCTCCCCTTCCTAAAACTTGCCCTCTCTAGGCTCCACCCACACATCTCCAGGAACTTCTCAAGCCAGAGTTGGCTACCCTGAATGGCAGGTGCCTATTGTCCTCCCCTGATGGGAAACCCAGCTGAAACACGGTTGGGGGGGGGGACAGGCCTGGAGGAAGTTCACATCAGACACACAAACACACACACACACAAGTGTCACCTCAGTTTTGTGGTTCTGTTGGTGGTTCGGCAGTAAAATCCTCACCTGCCCTGGTCAGAATCAGAAAACCCCTGAACACCAGTGCTTGGAGGCAACATCCAGGAAAGGTCTTGGCCTCTGTGCCCTGTTGTAGACCATCCATAGGAACCATGTGTGAGACAGGATGCTGAACTAGATGGAGTGCTGGTCTGATCCAGTAGGCCTGTTCTTCTTACGCTATCTTGGTGTTGTCAGTGACCTCATTTCCCCCCAACCACTTTTATCACTTGTTTTCTCCCAACTTTAAGTGGCCCACATGGATGCTCACAGCAATGCTGTAAAGTACAATAAGCTGCGAAAGAGTGACTGTCCCCACCTTAACTCTTGGGGGATTTGAACACAGGTTTCTCCCATCCAAGACTGAATCACGAACCACCATACTACACTGCCCCACCCCAATGGCCCTTTGCAGTGACAGAGTTGGATTCAAATCCAGTAGCACCTCAGAGATCAACAAGAGTTTGGGGGGCATAAGCCTTCACAGGGCTCCCTTTGTCAGATCAGAGTCAGAATGGAGGTCTCGGAGTCCTAATATCCCAGTTAGACATCTGAGATTAAGAACCACAGCACTCAAAAACCAACGGGAGAACATTTCAATCTTCCAGGTCCTTCCACTGCTGACCTAAGAGTGGCAGTCCACCAACAGAGAAGATTCAAGGGGAGATTACAACGTGAGGTTGTTGAACGTGAGTTCATTCACAAGTTTAGAACAATGGGCACCCCCCAGGGTTGAATACGGGCATAGGATCCTTATCTCACTACAGATGCTAATTTTATGCCCTCCCCCCAGTATTTCTCCTTTGCTCTAATCCAGTAGATGACAATGAGCAGTGTACTTCTGCGATCTCAGTTCCTTCTTTGCAACACCCATCTGACCTTCTGTCTGGGATAGAAGGGCTCAGAGATCTCCATTCCAAATTGTATCTGACGTTGGGAGCTTTGACACTCGAAAGCTTCTACACTGAAAATCTGGTGGGACCCACATCTAGCTGTTCTACTGCAGATCAACTTGGCTCCCCTTGGAAACTAGGGACAGAAGTGTATTCATAGACATGGGGCTGCGACTATCATGTTTGCTCTGATCCCTTCTGCGGAGTAAACAAGGCTGACACTGGCTTTCCAGAGCCAGCACCAAACTTTTGCAGATTTGCATCACTTCCTCTGAGCAAGGTGTCTTCTGGGCATGCCCAAGCAGGATGATTCAAACCTATTCCACCATCTAGTGGCTGTCAGAGTTATAATGCAGCTGCCTTTACTTGTGCAAAATCTGCATTTCTGTTATGCTCATGAAACTTGCAAATATGTCTCCCAGGAGTCTCTAAGTAATGTGGCAGGGCAATATATGCCAGAACTGGATCCAGACCTGGAGTCATAGGTAGAGGTAAGCTAAAACGATTGACATTGTTTTCTACTTTATTGTTCTTAGATAAAACAGTGCCTTCTTTTTCTTTAACTTTCATGAATCATTTACAGGGAAACCCTAAACAGAATCACACCCTTTAACATCCATTGAAGTCAAAGGGCTCACTATGGTGTAACGTTGCATACAATTGCACTGCCTGACTGTAATATACTCAGCTCAGACCGCGTGGCTAGCTTGGGCTCCACGCGGTCAAGCGCCAACGTTGAGCTTCGCTCGAAAAGACAATGGACTATGCGGATCCTAGCCCGCACCAATCAGGGGGTTAGGTTCCCAGCCGAGAGCCTATGGAACTCTCGACCACTGTAAATAACCTATTGGGAGGTAGGGGTGTGTTATGGGTGGCGGCTTCATGGGGAATGCAAGCCGGCCTGCGAGCCGACTAAAGTCATCTTGTTCCTGATCTAATAAAGTACGCTAAGCTGAAATCACTCTCCGTCTGTGTACTTTTCACTGACCATACTCAGAAGTGCACTAGGGTAGCCTTTCCCAGCTTGTGGGTCCCAATGCAAAAGTGCGTTGCGATGCTCATGAGAGTGGGGCTCATACTTTTCCTGTTTTATTGCTTTGTGCATGCTTCATTTTTTTAAGTGGGTCACCATACGAAGCACATTTGGACTGGTGGGTCACCATTCTGAGTAGATTTGGACTGGAGGGTCACCTGGGCAAAAACATTGGGAACCACTGCTCTAGGGAATGTTGGTGGTGTTCCTCCCTAGAACATATACATTATGAGCAGGGCCCTCTTAGAATGTCCGTGTACCTTGGGTGCCTATTTCCATGTGTTCTTATGCAAAATCCTCTTTGTTCAGCAGAGCAGCAGGGAAACCACTCTGGGGGTGTGTGGGAATAATCTCTATTTCCTGAACCTTTGCTGTCCATTAAATAACTGGTAGTCTCCCAGAACAAATGAACATTTAATTTTTGAAGAAGAAAGTCTTTTTAATGGATGAATAATATTTTTTTCGAAAACTTGGGTGTTAATGAGAAATCACACTTGAAACAAGAATGGGCAACCATGCCAAGGAATTAAAACGGATGTGGGAAGGGGTTGACATCTGGCTTTCTCCTCTACTGCTTCTTTATCTTGCTGGGAACCACGCGAGTCTCCTGCCTTTTTTGAAGCAACGCTTCCTGAAGCTTTTGAGTGAGCTGGACCACCGCAGATGTTAACACTTGGGAACTATGGATAAACTGGTTTTCTGAAGGGGGGGGGAAGAAAAAGAAATGGGGATATTCAGAGCCAAATGACACTTTGCACTGATACCATAATCAAACTCTCCAAGATGGGCTCCAAGTTTATGAAGCATCTGGATTGGGACCTTCTTGCAAGTTTCCCAGGCATAATGCCTTCAGTTGCTTAACAATCCTTTAACAAAAAGAACAGCATAATATCAATCCGTGTCCTCCCCAACCCCAATACACACAGGCATGCTGGGATTAACAACACCTTAAGTGTGAGACATTTTAACCCAAAGATTGTGCAGAGGCATAGCGTCCCAGTCCTTTGTCCCGATCCAAATTGCCCCACCTGCTGCTTTGTAAGGCCAGACATGTATCAGTAGATCTGATCACACGTTCCCATAATCTGGCTTTTCACATCAGGCACAGTCAGGCCTGGCCCTAATTTTAGGCAGGGCGAGGCAGCCCGCCAGAGATTTCTTATTAAGGGGCAGCAAATTGTCAGCCGTTTAGTTATGAAAGGATCGGCTGGTTGTCTGGGCTTTGGGGCACTCCCGTCTTCCATTCTTCTAGCCAACAAGGAAGCCATGGCTATGATTGGCATGTGTGGAATATTTCTCCCAGGCGTGATCTCCTGAGGGCAACGTAGTTGCTGAGAGACTCAGGTGCAAACTATGAACCAGGAGGTGCCCGGTTCAAATTCCGCATCTTCCATAAACCCAGTAAATAATCTCAGCAAGTCCCTCCTCATTCCCCATCTTCAGAATGGGAATGCTCATCAATCCTTCTAATATCAAACTGGATGGTTGAGTACCGAAGAGTGCTAAGGACAGCTGAGGATCAGTTAAAGGAGGTAGAGAAGAAAGGGAAAGGAGCAGATGAGAATTATCTTGCCCTAAAGGTTCATAGAACATAGCACTATGAGGACCAAGGGGTAATTTCCTAGTGCTTTGTGGGCCTCCCAACTCCTCATAGAAACAAAAGTGTCATCAAGTGACAACCGACTTATGCCAACCCCAGCAAAGGGATTTCGATAAAAATGAGAATCAGAGCTTCTGTGCTATTCCCTTCCTCTGCAGAGTCTTCCTTGGTGGTCTCCCATCCAAGTACCGACCCTGCTTAGCTTCCAAAATTTGACAAGATCAGGCTACACCACACTGCCTTCCCTTCCTCCCATTCTCCCTTTGCTTGTAATAATAATATTTTCAATGATAATACAGGCCAAGGTGCCCGGCACTGCCTTGAAAAACGCAGGGAGATTTAGTTGCGCAGTGCCTGGAGAGGGCAGGTTTGAGAAGGATGCTGTGTCACTTCTGGGTGACCCTCTAGACTGTCTCCCCTAATCTCTATGGACTTTACCATAGAGACTAAGCAGCAATTCCTAGAGTGTTACTATGTGGAGGCCATTTTTTTCTCCGACTCCTTTGTGTCTCAGGAGTGGGAAACTGGGAGCAGTAATTCCCTACCTCAGATGGGTTAATGGGAGACCTAATACAGGTCTACACTACAGGGTTATGATAACAACTAGAAATAATGCCCGTTGCGGAAATAAATACAACGGGGATCTAGAAAGAGGCTCTGGGAGAGTGCTCTGGCTTTGGGCAAACAGTGTCAGTCTGCTTTTAAAACATGAACCTGGGACCTGCACACCACCAGAATACAGCAGGTTCCATATGCAACTGACATTCCAACTGCCTTGGGGGGGGAGTTTGAGGTGTGGAATGGAGTGAAGTCCAATCAGCTTCCATATGCAAAAGACCAGGTTGTCGCAGCAGTTGTGGTGTGGGTGGGACCCGGGCTTTGCCTTCTGATTGGTGGCGATATATGCTGAGGAGCAGTGCCATCAGCCATACACTAAGGGAGTGCATTTTAGAATTAGAACTTTGGCACCCACTATTCAATTATATATAAGGAGAGATTACTGAGACAATAGATGTGAAGCAACCTGAACCTTCTGGAGCACTATGCAAATGTTTAACAATCAGTGTTGAAGCAAAATTGGTGCCTGTTGTACAGGGAACACTTACGGGCCTTTACAATCTGGTCCAGCGATTCACTGAGGAAACTGAATTCCTCCATCAGGGTTCTGCCATCACAGGGTTCCTGAGAAGATGGGAGAGGAGGGACGGGGACCCCTGATGGGGGCAGTTCAGACAGGGAAAGGGGATAGGATGTTGAAGGCAAGAGGGAGGATACACCTTCAGGAGTGGAGGGAAGCAGTGGAGAAGACTGAGGTCCTTCTGCCGACAAAGACATAAACATGTATTCGCTCAAATACCCACAAAGATGTCTCAGTGTCAAAATCACATGATAAAACACCCTCAGACATGTAGTTGCTACTTACTGTTTCAAGTGGGTGGTGGTTCTTAACTGAGAGAGAGGTAATAAGGGAAAGTCTTCACTAAATAAATCCTGAACTCCCTCTCTCTCTCTCTCTCTCTCTCTCTCGTCCCTACTTCTCTGCTGAGTCACTTCCTGTACCTGTTCCTTCAAACTCTAGCTTCTCCATGCCCCAGCATGGGGTTGCCAACCTCCAAATGGTGCCTGGAGACCACCCAGAATCCCAGCTGCTCAACACACCACAGTGATCAGTTCTCTTGGAGAAAATGGCGGGTTTGGAGAGTGGACTCGATGGCATCATAGCCAGCTGAGATCCCTCCCCAAACCCCACCCTCCCCAGGCTCCACCCCCAAATTTTCAGGAATTTCCCCATATGGAGTTAGCAATCCTATGACCGTAAGTTATTCCTCATCTAGTTCTCTAATACACTCAGTTCGGTATACATTGATAGACTTACCATTCTCTGTTGTGGGTTCAAGTCCAGAGGCAGCAGGATCTGATGGGTAGTGCAAGTGAGCTAGGAACAAAGGCAGAAACCTTTGAAATCATCTACCCCCTTCCTTTAAGGACATTTCATTACAAAGAGATCAACCTATGTGCTCCAGAGAACACCTGTGACTTTGCCAACATCGGCCATACTGTTGTGCTGTCAAAGAATGCAGTCTCCATCAAGTTTGGTTCAAGGATGTCCAGACTGATCCATTTTTGTTATGGACAGAATCACAGAAGGCAGGGGGAAGTCGTGAAGGGTTTCCAGTGAGCTGAGGCTGCCCGCCTAGGGCCTTGGCTATTACTGGTACTAGTTAAAAAAACTTTAAAAGCCGTCCAGTAGCAAGGGCAGTGGGGATGGAATGTTGGCCAGTTGCACTGAACTGCATTGTTTGGAAGGAATGCAGTGAATCAATCGGCTGAAAAGTTATGAACTGGTCAGAAGAACAGTCTGCTGAAAAACAGGTCCCTGTTCACCTCTGGCAAACAGGACATGAGGCAAACAGGTGGGTTGGTGGGTGGGGTTGAGCATCCCTAATTTACCTGCCCAGAAATACCATACACTGGTATTTCATATTACGTTTAAAAACTGTGGTTTTCTATTCAGTCTGACATCCTGACATTGGGATTGACTCCACTCAGTTGGACAATGTCATTATGTTGCATCTGGAGCCTTTGACTGAGCTATGTTTCCTGATGACACGATCCTCCATGCAAATACTCTGGGGAGCAGTTTCTGCATCTCACTTGATAGCTAAGGGGTTTTCCCATGGGGAACATACATCATCTTACCCTTTAAATGCTCTGTGATGCCAATTTAGATCCAGTGCTGATCAGAACATACAACCGGCTTTCTTCAACTTTCTACATTCCATTTATGATGGTTACAAGCACCATGACTAGCATTTCTGATAGTTACAAATACCATAACTAGTATGAGGATAAAGCAGATTTGGGGTGTAAGATACGATTAACCATCATGAGAAAGAGAATGGAAGAGGCTGGCATCAGAAGCCTTCACAGAAACCCTTTTATACGTTTACTAGAAATAAGGCCCGTTGTGGAAATAAATACAATGAGATCTAGAAAGAGGCTCTGGGAGAGTGCTCTGGCTTTGGGCAAACAGTGTCAGTCTGCTTTTAAAACATGAATCTGGGACCTGCACACCACCAGAATACAGCAGATTCCATATGCAACTGACATTCCAACTGCCTTGCGGGGGGGGGGAGAGTTTGAGGTGTGGAATGGAGTGAAGTCCAATCAGCTTCCATATGCAAAAGACCAGGTTGTTGCAGCAGTTGTGGTGTGGGCGGGACCCGGGCTTTCCCTTCTGATTGGTGGTGATATATGCTGAGGAGCAGTGCCATCAGCCATACATTAAGGGAGTGCATTTTAGAATTAGAACTTTGGCACCCACTATTCAATTATATATAAGGAGAGATGATTCCCACACTCTATAGGGCATCTATTGTACCCTCTTGCTAAATCTACTCATATTGGACATCTATGAAGACTTCTTCTGACTTTTGGGTCCCAGCGCTGTTCTTAGCCTCACATGTATAAGTACCAGAATGCTGGTTTCCTTTGATTTCAAACTGAATTTTTTTTGTGATTCTTATATTCATCCATCACTTGGTCATCCTTATACCACAGATACTCAGAAAACTCTGGGTTGCTGCTCTTGAGTGTACACTCTAGAGAAAGTATCTCTCCCTCTCGAATGGTCGTTGCAGGTGACACTATCAGCCCACCATCTTTAGGACCATCTGAAATCAGTAATTGTCAGGAGAAAGAGGCAGAAGTCAGATAAGCTGTACAAAAAATGCGTTGGAAGAAATTAGGGCCCCTTTCTGCACTGACAGCTTCCTACGGAATATCCGAGGACTCAAACCTTAAGGGTTGACTTTGCAGTTGCACGCAATCCCTCTGCACTGGGTTTTCCCCCTCTGGTTTATTTATTTGTATATTCTGCATGGATTCTGCATCTACAAGCAAAACCAGCATTTTTTGAGCTAACTGGCTGCCAACCCCCCAACCACCCACCCTCCCTACTTCCCTCTGTGATTCTGCAAAAAGAAAGGGAAGGGAGGGGGAAATCCAGGCCCACACATGAAAGACTGACACATTTGGGAGCAGGGAATCCCCTAGTCCTTCATATTTACTGTTTCCTTCTTATGCTCTCTCTGGTTTTTTAAAAGTTTGCCTGAGTGAGAGGACACGTCCTCCTTTGTCTTTGGAGAAGGAGGGAAAGAAAACAGAACAGGGAGAGAGTGTCAACATAAAGAGAGAGGGGCAGAAATGGGGAAGGGGCAGTGGGCAGTACTTAAATGCCCGCAGAAACAATTCTACTTTAGAAAGGATTAGCGATTTGAAAGCAGATGAGAACAAAGAATCGCAGCAAAGGGAGTTTTGGTTGCTGCGGGGCCACAGTGTGCTGGAAGCGGTCTGAATGCAGATTCCTGTAAAACAAATGCAGAAACAAGAGAAAGCCCCAATACAAACTGAAAGTGACAGTGGGAGGGAATGCAGAATGTAAGAACAGGATGTGCTCAGCGACTGAGGAAATATACGGGTGCAGAAAAGGCCTAGGTTTGAGGTCCTGGAAATAAAACCATTATCCAAGTCACTGACACCCTCTGCAATCCCACATGAATACAGCACCAACTTAATTCTAACCTTATATCCTACACTCATTTACAAATGTATTCACATGCAATGCCTGCATGCCACTTGCAGTTACTCTTCTGCCTCACTGGGCCCCTGTCCTATTAAAACAGTTGGAGGAGCTAGCCTGATCCTTTCCTGCTTACTGTTCCATTCATTGCCGAAAATACTGGCAATCTGTAGTTTCCAAAAATCTCTGGAAATGCTGTCCCGGTTACATTTTTAGGGATGTGTGCATTTTTTTTCCACCCTATCCTGGATGGCCCAGGCTTGCCCAGTCTCATCAGATCTTGGACGCTAAGCAAGGTCAGCTCTGTTTACTACTTGGATGAGAGTCCACCATGGAAGTCCAGGATTTGCTACATAGAGGCAGGCAATGGCATACCGCCTCTGTCCATCTCTTGCCTTGAAAACCCTACGGGGTCTGCATAAGTTGGTTGTGACTTAACACCACTTTCCACCACCATGTATACTGTAAATAAACAGTCTAATGAGGTGGCGGAAGGACCAAAAGGACAGGTCCAGTCTATAACTTGGCTCTCCCAGCCCTAAATCTTCAAAGTTCGAGACAAAAGGGATCCTGGAAAAAGAAAAAGATCACTGGACGTCAAAAACCTTCATATTAACAATACTTCCTTAGCGTATCCCATAGGCTGAAGTTGTGTTGGTACTTAGGATGTCCAAGGCAAAAACTACTGAAGAGAGAGAAGGAGGAGGAGGATAGATTGGATTTATACCCCGCCCTTTACTCAGAGTCTCAGAGTGGCATACAATCTTTTTCCCTTCCTCTCCTCACAACAGACACCCTGAGAGGTAGGTGGGACTGAAAGAGCTCTCAGAGAACAGCTCAAGAGAACAGCTCTGCAAGAACTGTGGCTTGCCCAAGGTCACCCAGCAGCTGCATGTGGAGGAGTGGGGAATCAAACCTGGTTCTCCCAGATTAGAGTCCGCGCACTTAACCACTACACCAAACCAACTGTATCTGTTGTTCTTTTATACCTATAGCAACATAACAGCAGGGGTCTCTGTTCAAGCTTGTGAAGCCAGCCTCTTCCATTCTCCAGTTCTTCCCAGATAAAACCAACTCTTCAGAGAGGAAATCTGCTTTTCCCTCATGCAAGTGATGGAACTTGTAACGATCATAAACGGAGGCGAGAAAGTATAAGAAAGCCAGTTTTAGGTTGTGGCCAATGTAGAATTTAAATTTATATTGCTATCCATTTAAAAGCGCAAGACATTATTTGTTTCCCATGGGAAATCTTTTGTAGCTTGATGTGAAACAACATGTCACAATTCTTAATACAAGGTTTTATTCTTCTGCACTTCTTAGACCCCTGCTCTATGTTCTCCTTCATTTTTCTTTTTTATCCTCTCTTTTAGTATAGAGAGCTCTAGTCTGCTCAGCAACTGACTATGGTCTCCCAAAATGGACAAACTTCTACACATCAACAATGAAACAAATTTGTAAGCCCTCCTTAGACAGGGTTTCCATGTGGGACCTGGAGATCTCCTGGAATTGGAACTGATCTCCAGACTAGACAGATTAGTTCCCCTGGAAGAAAATGGCTGTTTTGAAACATGCATTCTATGGCATCATATCCCCGTAAGGTTCCTTCCCTCCCCTAACCCACCATTCCCCAATTTCACCCCACTGTTATGTTGATGATTCCCACATTCAAAATCCCATCAATTGCATTATCTCAATGAATGAACTCACACTGAACATTTATGCTGAGTTCACTTGACTTCGGGGACCCAATGCTGTTTTTTGCCTCACATCTATAAGCACCAGAATGCCAGTCTCCTTCGGTTTTAAATTCCATTTTTTTGTCATTCATCCATTCATCCATCAGTTGATCATCCTTATACCAAAGGTACTCAGAAACCTCTGGGTTGCTGCTGTTGATCATACACTCCAGAGAAAGTGTCTCTCCTGCTCGAAGGATTGTTCCAGGCGAAGCTATCACCTGAAGATCTTTAGGAGCATCTGAAATAAGAAACCGTCAGGAGAAAGAAGCAGAAGTCAGATAAGCGGTATAAACATTTCCTTGAAAGAAACTAGGTTTGAGGTACTAGAAATAAGACCAACATACAACTCACTGACACCCTCTGTGGTCATGCATGACTATAACACCAACTCAGTTCTTGTGGTGTATACTGCACTCCTTTACAAATATCCGCATGCAGCATCTGCAATAATTATGTGTCCCCTTGTGCCCCTATCCTTTTAAAACAATTTGAAGCGCCAGCTTGATCTTTTCCTGGCTGGGACTACCAACGTTTTGATCTGAAATGTGGTGCCCTTTGGGTATGATGAGGGCCGCACGTGCCGTCTTTTATCTGAGAAAATTGTGTTACATGAAAACTTGATCCATAAGAACTGCCTGATGTTCAAGTACCTCTTCTGAACCTGACTGTTCCTCAACAATCACGGCCAGGGGGGTCCCAGGACCTGAGATGTGCACTCCGATGTTAAGGAATCAAATAACGAAAATCCATTTTCATTTTTGTTAGTAATATTCAATCCATTGCGGAAAACAACGGCAATCACTCGTTTCCAGAAATGTTGGGGAAAGCTGTCTTTTTTAAAAAAGAAAAAACCCTGCCCGTATGTTTTCAAAAAATAGTCCATTCTGCTTTTCATAGTTTTAGTTTGATTGTAGCAGGACCAAGGGAAAAACACTGAGTGAAAAGGGGCAGAACAGGAGAAGGAAGGAGATAGTAGATTAGCCACTCATGTAACTGATAGAGATGATATCCATCTGTAGGAGTTACACGGTATGGCCACAAAAGAAAATTACCAACAGAGCCTATCACAAAAACTCAGCTGTTACCGTCTAGCTGTAAGTGTTAGATCGCGCTAACAAAGGACTCGTACAGTGATTCAGCAAGTGATTCAGCTTTATTGGAAGTAACGAGCAAGCACTAACTCAGTAAGAAACCAGAACAGAAAACAGTGGGAGCTTATGCTCCTTTTAAACATAACCGGGCTAATGTAGCCACGCCTATTTACAAATAACAACCAATGAGATTGCTAGAATAAAGACCAATGGGAGTCTTTCCCTCCTAGGGAATGGTATCGTTCTGATTGGTCGCTGTTACGAAGCGACCAATAGGAAGTTCGCTCAGAGGAGCCCTGGTCTGGCTCGAAGCTTAACATGGGAGTCCTATGAGGTGATTCATGTAATCATTTCAATACATTACAATTCCTCCCCCCTAAGTTAAGCCATCATCCCAATTGTTTTATTATTTACAAACATGCAATCAACCTTTGTACATCAGTTATTCCAACAGTATTTACACTCATAGTCCTTCAGATAAGTCGGCATTTGCCGCGAACGCTGGGACCTGCGGAGCGGTGCAGGCACCACGGGCAGACAAGGTTGTGGGTCAGAGTGGGGTTCACTACAGCCTGGATCAGGCACAGACTCGACTGGGATTTCAGCCCCGCACACAGGGTTCTGCCCTGACTCGGGGACAGTACCGGGCCTTTCGGTACTCACCGCCTGCTCTGGGGGTGTCCACTCGACATCAGGGGATTCAGCCGTCGGAGAGTCAGCGCTGTCCCTAGCCCAACGTCTCCTTAACTGATCTATGTGGCGCCGCCATATTCGACCGTCAGCTAACTGCACCACATACATTCGAGTACCCACAGAGTCGGATATAACCCCAGGAAGCCACAAGTGCCCGTTTGCATAATTTCGTGCGAAAACCTTGTCCCCTTTTTCAAACATGCGCACCTTCGGTTGCGCAGTGGTACGCTCGGACTGATCTTCTGATAGGTCTGGGTGCATACGGTTCAAACGGGTCGTGAGTCTCCGCCCCATTAACAATTCGGCCGGACTACGGCCTGTAGCACTACAGGGGGTGGTGTGCTGCAGCAAAAGAAAGGAGCCCAGCCTCTGGCTCCAGTCCCCTTCGTCCATTTTACCCAGGGCCTCTTTGGCCGTCCTGACCATCCGTTCGGCTTGGCCATTAGATGCCGGATGGAAAGGGGCCGAAGTCATTTGGCGTATGCCATTACTCGTGAGGAAGAGCCTAAATTCCTCAGACACAAATTGAGGCCCGTTGTCACTGACGATGACGTCAGGCAACCCGTGGGTGGCAAAAAGTCGGCGGAGCGCATGGATCACAGCAAGTGATGTGGTCGATTTCATATGCACGACCTCCAGCCATTTGGACATAGCGTCCACCACAATTAGGAACATTTGCCCTTGGAGAGGGCCAGCAAAATCTATATGCAATCTGGCCCAGGGTTTACCAGATGACTCCCAGCCTTGGGGTGTAGCTTGTGGGGGATCGGGTCTGACTTGCTGGCATTTGGGACACCCTCGTACCCATTCTTCGATCTCTTTGTCCAGCCCCGGCCACCAGACATACCCTCTGGCCAACGCTTTGGTGTGTACCATACCGGGGTGACCCTCGTGCAGCGACTCTAACACTCTCGTCCTGAGTTTGTCAGGAACCACCACCCTGTTCCCCCATAATACACAGCCCTTAGAAATGGATAGTTCATTTTGACGGCTTTTGTAAGGGCCGAACTCCGGTTCAACGCTTCCAACCGGCCACCCCCTCCAAACCCAGTTTAATACTCGGGACAGCACGCTATCCTTGGCCGTGTGTGCTGCAATGTCCCTGGATGATACCGGGGGTCGAGGAAGCTCCTCAATTGCCAAGACCTCACAGGCGGGGGCAGGGTCTGCGCCAATGTCCGGCACCGGGCACCGGCTGAGGGCATCCGCATGCCCAATCGCTTTCCCAGGCCGGTGCTCTAAGTCAAAATCATAAGCCTGCAAAAATATCGCCCATCTAAGCATGCGTGGGGACATGATGTTTGGCAATTGCTTATCGGGCGCAAAAATCCCCAGTAGCGGCTTGTGGTCAGTGACCAGCAAAAATCGTCTGCCAAAAATAAAATCATGGAACTTTTTGACAGCCGCTACCAACGCCAGACCCTCCTTGTCTATCTGGGCATAGTTCCGCTCTGCCGCAGATAGTGATCTAGAATAAAAAGCGATAGGCGCTTCGCTCCCATCAGGCATCAGATGGCTTAAAACTGCGCCTACTCCAAACGGTGAAGCGTCAGCAGCTAACACCAGGAGCTTGTGTTCATCATAATGCGTGAGTACGGCATTAGATGTCAGCAGCTCCTTGACTCCCACAAAAGCCTTTTCCTCGGCCTGCCCCCACTTCCATTTTGCCTCCTTGTGCAAAAGCGCGTGCAAAGGGGCCGCCACTGATGCCTTATGCGGTAAAAACGCATGATAAAAATTCAGGAGTCCTAAAAAGGATTGGAGCTCCTTCTTACTCACCGGCCTGGGGGCGTTTTGGATTGCAGATACCTTCTCATCCGTGGGGTGGACTCCCTCTGCGTCAATGCGAAACCCCAGGAAGTCCACACTTTCCACCCCGAGCGTGCATTTTGAGCGCTTAACTCTGAGGCCGGCATTTTGAAAACGCCTGAGGACCTCTTTAACCCGGTCCAGTAGTTCCTGTTCAGACCCGCCCGCAATCAGCACGTCGTCAAAATAGGGCACTGTGCCAGGTACCCCCCTTAGTAGACGTTCCATGAGGCCCTGAAAAATCCCAGGTGCTACGTTGACCCCGAATTGCAGCCTGTTCACTTTAAAAGCCCCTTGGTGGGTTACAATTGTTTGGGCCTCGGACTAATGCTATAACATATAAAGAGAATATGTATAAGATGTTTTATAGATGGTATATTACACCTGATAGATTGGCTAAGCAAAATACTAACTGTTCTGATAAATGCTGGAAATGTAAGAGTAAAAGGGGCACATTTTATCCTGCAGCGGTGAATTCCACGCGTATGAGAACCCAGCAAGGAAGCCCGGGGTTGCTAGACATATGAAGGCAATGGCAGTCCACCTCTTGCAACTTGATGTCACTGTCCACCACCGCAGCAATGAAGAAGTGGCTATGAAAGAGAGCCATGAAAAAGAGATACAGGCTGCAAGAATCTTATATGCCAAGTATTGGAAAACTATGGTGATACCAACGAAACAGGAGTTTGTGAATAAACTTTTTGAAACAGCAGAAAATGATAAACTGACTTTAGAAATGAGATTAAGCAAAGAGTGGACATTTCAAAAAACATGGAAAAAGTTTTATGATTGGTATAATGTAAGTACAATAGACGATTGGGCAATTATGGCACAATGGACTTGAGAACACAGAAGACAGAAGAATGGAAAGTGATAGAGCGTTTCTATTAATTAAATAATTGGATATAAGCATATAATGTAACTGTACTCTTGGTATACATGTTGTGTGTAGTAGAGTGTCTGTTTGTAGTGTGTAGATTTGTTTGTTGTAGATTATAAAAGAAAAATTAATAAAAGTGTACCCATGGGTACTTAAAAAAAACCAAACACAAACATATTTGTTGTTCTATGATGCCCTACTGCACCCAGCTTTCACAGGTAGTGTTGTGACTCATCAGACTAGTATATTTTGTTCAGGCCCAGCAATATCTTCTTTTCAGGGTCTCTCCTCACCCACTTTGCCCAGATCCCTCCTCCTTACACAAAACTCACATTTCACATCCAGTTGCATGGTGCTCTTGGATATTTCTGACCCATTCTGTCTTTTCAGGGAGCAGACGAGAGACTTCCCATGGTCCTCCCAGGTCATTTGCAAAATCACGACTGTTTGGATCATTCCATTATTGATAGTCGTTCTTGTGGAAGTCAAACGAGTCCCTCCTAAGCCACTGATAGTCAGTCCTAGCGGTTCCTCGGGACAGTGGTATGGTACAGAGCAGGTCACTCTTGTCCACCCTTCTCGGATATTTTTAGGGTTGATGTCCATCTTAGGATCTGGAGGTGACTCTACATCCAGAAAATAAATTGGGATATGCCCAAGTTATAGTTAGGGGAAAATCTCAAAAGATATCCTTGTAGAAATGTGTGGCTTCTTCTGCTGGATTCTACATGGACACAGAAGCTTTGGCTACATATTTTTTAAAAAATCAGCAACTATACCGACAACATGCAGCCCCGACCCATATGCTTTCACACGTGACACCTGTTAGGATAGGGAATCTCAGTGCCATCGTAAGCAGAATTAGACCCTTCAAAGTTCATTGAAGTACATGGATTTAGAAGAATGTCTCTTTTTCATGGCCCTGGGCGTGGTCTATTCTGCCATGGGATGGGCCACCAGCCCCCTTGGGTGAGAGTGCCTGGCTGCCAGCAGTGCTGGCTGGACAAAGTGTTGACACTTCTCCATGAGGCATCAACATGGGGCCCAGGCATGGTCAAAGATGCCACTCTGGTGCCCACCAATGTTGACCCCTAGGGAGATTCCTCCACTGCTGGCAGTTCCTTCAAAACGATAGCTCCCATTACAGGTGAGGTGATGCACCTATGAGGCAGCTGATCCAGGAGAGAAGAAGCAGGTAGGAAGCCCAAAGGTGTTCTACTGATGGTGGGAATGGAAGACAGGTTGTTCTGAGGACAGGAGGATACAGGTTTGCATGGAGAAGCAGGAGGCAAGGGGCCAGAGGGAACTGCGGTTGTAGGAGGGGTTTGGGTGAGAGATATGATTGGGCTGCGCCAGCACTCCCTGCTGGCACAACTTGGGGGTGGCCATGTTGTGAACCCTGATTAAGCCAACAATTGCAGCCTTCCGGGACTCTGATGGTCTTCAATATATTGGAAAAACAAGATTGTTAGGTGCCCCTAACCTCCCCCTCCCCTCCCCACCAGGAAGATGTCATGCTATGTTTAGGAGTGCACTGTTAATGTCCAGAATGAAATATTTGTGGCTCCCTCTCATGCTACACACAGTTGGAAAATGGCTCTGCCATTGATAATAGCCACCTGCTTCCAGTGGTCATTTCCTGCAGGAGCACACAGGAGCAGAGCTCCTGCAGTAAAGAGCCCAGGGGGCAGGCACATGCAACAAGCCCCACCCCCTGCTCCCAGGAGCCCTCAGTCACAGCAAGAAGCAGCCAGGTAAGTTGCAGAGCTCCCCCTGACCCCCCGGCCCAAACCAGTCCAGTGGCACCTTTAAGACCAAGTTTTATTCAGGTACAAGCTCTCCCTCCTCTGTGAGGGCAGATCTGCACTTTCCCACCCCATAGCTAGCAATCCAAAACAGTCCGGTGGAGCCTGAGCAGTGGGTGTTGCCTTCTGACACACTTCTGGTGATGTCAGGGTTTGTGGCATATGCAAATAAGTTATGCTAATAAGTTATACTAATGAGCTCCAGCACCTCTTTTTCTATGAAATGACCCCTGCCTGCTTCCCATATTAGGTATGCCTCATCCATATACTGACAACCTACTGCCTGTACAGATCTTAATCATTTGTATCCTGTACACCACGTTACAGGTATTGTTGAGCTCTTAAAAAACCTGATATGATGAATTATTTAGCCCTTGTCCTTGACTATCACTGTATTGCACTGATCTCTCATTCACTTTCCATTATCATGCACTGTGCCCCCATATGAAACTCGTGTCGGTGCTGTTTTTCTGTTACTCCTGCTCTGAGTCCCAATGCATGCACAATTTCTGCAGGAAGGGCTTTCCTAATCATGTTTCCCATGCTAGCTTTACTTGCCAAATTTCTGCATGTCATACTAGGCCAAAGCAGAAAAAGCAACAAAAAAAGTGGGGGTGGGGAGACTACGGCTAAAGACACAAGAGGAGTAAAAGAAAAAAAAAGTTCCACTGTGGACAAGATTACAAGGCAAGATTCCAGAGCCATACCGTGGTGTAGCAAAAGGGAAGAGAGACAAGCACATTCCCTGTGAGTCAGCTGATCATCTGCTTTGTCCACGGTCTTGAACCACAAGACTGTGCTACAGACTGTTGTCCATCTACCAATCATATCCTCCCGCTGATTGGGAGGGATGCTCATAAGAGAAGTGCCATTTTCCCATGCCAGGATTGGGAAAGTGTTTCTGTCTTAGCACCACTCCCCTAGCGCTAGTCCAGAAGACTTCCCATTCACATCTCACAGCACTGATCCCTTGAAAAGATGAGTTTTATAACGGATGAGGAGGAAAGAGGAATGTCTTTACTAAATTCTTACCGGTGACATTAACTGTAGCATTGAGAAACCACTTAAATCGCTGAACTGACCAAAGATATGAAGCAGAAAGCCTTGCCCCATAGATGCCACTGTCCTCTGTCCGGGCTTGAGAGATCTTCAAACTGCAGGTTTTCTTCTCTAAATTATTCTGGACATTCCCTACAAACGCCAACCGACCTGCAAAAGCAGACGGCGATGGGGTACTGCATTTCCTTGATGTTGAAGAGCTGTTGCATAGTAAGTGGCCAGAGTAGTCAGACTGTTTTGTATCATTAAAAGGCTGAAAATACCAACGCAGGGAGATGTCTCTGAGAAGAGCACCATCATATCGATTGATCTGGCAGGGAATCACTACACAAGATCCTTTCCAGGCAACCAGGGAATCAGGGTTTATCTTCAGTGGGTTTGGATTGCAAAGGAAACCTGAAATGGAAGAAACACAAGGCAGAATTTGGCCAGCTTCCCGTGTTCTCTTAGAACTAAATCTTACAGACACTCTAAGTCTCCATTGCTCTCTCTTCTAAAGGAAGCCAAGCCCCTCAAATGTCACCTCCACTCTGATATCACATAGAAATAGCTGGAACCAAAGAACTTCTCCTGGGTGCCTCTGGCTCTTTGTTCTATTTAGAGGAGTTTCGGGGGAACCCAAGCTCCACCAGACCTCCTGGAGGGAGGTCAGGTGCAAGGGACTTGATTCGGGCCCCATTTGCTGCAAAATGGGTGTGAAGCTTTGGATCGTCCCAAAGCAGAGAATGAAGACGAGCAGTTAGGGAGCCATAAACTGCACCACCTGTGTTTGCCCTGGGAGCAGATAGTCGATCTCAGCCTCGTAGGTACTACCTATGAAGATTTACAACTTATAACGTAGTAAGTACCTGGAAAAACAACACCAAAAACAAAATACTTTCTCTTTCTCTTTATGCCCCTGTAATAAATTTTAAAAAGGACATGGAAAGGAGGGGCCCCCTCCCTAATGATGGAGTGGCAGAGATAATTCACATAAAGAAAGTTGAGTGAAATACTGCTTGGGGCAAAGTGAGACTTTTGTTTTTGCTTTAATATTATTCTTTGAGGGGGGAAAGGTAGAACGAAAGAGAACTATTTAGAGTTGATTTTGCTTCTTCGTGGCAATTTTTGTGACATCACATTTCATGACTAGGAACGGAGGAGCTTATTATGACTATTGTGCTCGGTGAGATGTAAACATCTGACTTACACAAACAAATTCCTAGCTGTCAACAACTTTAAGCACGGTCAGCTTGGAAAAGAATCACTGACAATAAACTTTGAAAAGATCACTGCTTGGTCTGTGTGATTGCTTGAAAATAGGGGGCAGGATACAAAAAGAAAAATGCCAGACGATATTTGCCCAAAGAGCTTTATAGAAATTGATCAACTACAGGTCTCCTGGAAGGAGATTCGGGAGGTGATTGTGAATGAAATTACCTCAACATTTAAGGAAGTTTTGGAACTTGTAAAGGCTAAATATTCTGCTACACCATCCCAAACCATAAGCTAGATAAAGGAATTCCAGCATCAAATGGCACAAGACACAGAGCAATATTATGATTCAGTGGACCCAACCTATAGAGGAAAAGAATCCCAGCAGCAAACCTTTCCAGCTGTAAGACAACACTACAAACAATTTGACTTTACATATATAGAAAAGGATCCTCAGTACTTAAAAGTGGAAGATACAGAACAACCCTGCAACCAAGATGAACAGTGGGAACAACAGGTCTACTAAAAGACTGTCAAATTTTGAAACCCTCAAAGTTATACTTCACAGAGAAGATGAAACAGAAGCCATAAAAATACTAATCACCACCAAAATGGAATACAGATGACAAGGACAAAGAAAAATGACTTTATTTATTTATTTATTTATTTATTTATTCTGGGATTTATATCCCGCCCTACCCATACGGCTCAGGGCGGCAAACAAGCGGCAAGCGCCGAGAATAAAACACATGTTACATTAAAACTTTGATAAATACAACTAAAATGGTGCTCTACAGTTCAATTTTAAGAAAGTTTAAGATGGTCGATCCTCACTGGCGGCCGACGATATAAGAGTCGGAGCGCCAGAGTAATGCTCCTCTTCAGGGCGGCGTCTCTCCGTACCCAAGGCCAGGTAGATGGTAATTCCTGCCACGATGGTGGTATAGTGGCAGTGGCGGCGGCTCCTACTCAAAAGTCTGGCGGAAGAGCTCCGTCTTGCAGGCCCTGCGGAACTGTACAAGGTCCCGCAGGGCCCGGATCTCCGCCGGGAGCTCGTTCCACCAGGTAGGAGCCGCCACCAAGAAGGCCCTGGCCTTGGTTTGGGAGAGCTTGATGTCCCGGGGGCCCGGGACCTGGAGAAGGTCCAGGCTCCCTGATCACAGCGCTCTTGGGGGAACATACGGGAAGAGGCGGTCCCTTAGGTAGATTGGACCCTGGCCATTCAGGGCTTTAAAGGTAAGAACCAGCACTTTGAAGCGAATCCGGTATGCTATAGGCAGCCAGTGCAGCGCTTGCAGCGCCGGCCGGATGTGGTCTCTCCTCGAGAGACCCATCAGCAGCCTAGCCGCAGCATTCTGCACTAGCTGCAGCTTCCGGATTTGCAACAAAGGCAACCTTTTTAATGAAAAAAAGGTTTTTGAAAAAGAATAAAAGAATAAAACCTCCTAAATAATGCTGATCTAGAGGACTCTGGTTTATGTGTAAGTGACTAAGATTGGTAAAGGGTTAAGGAAAATTGTATTGACAATTAATTAAAATTATAGCCCATAAGAAAATTAACCCTTGTATTGGTACAACTGCTTAAAATGGGTAAGGGGAAATTATATTGACAATGAATTAACACTGGTTATAATTGAAATTATATTTCTCTTTCTTTTTATATGCATGTATAAAATTATAGACACAGTGGCTAGCCAATCCCCTCCCCTCCTTATCTGAGGCTCACTAAGGCAGTCTGTAGATGGCCAGACCAGAACAAGGACTTAAACGTTTAGATTTTTTATTTCAGACCCTTCCCAGATCACTGGCATGTATAACCTGAGGGAGTACACATTTGCTTGAGCATAACTCCTTTTACATCCTGCCAGGGAAAATTTCAGCTTATTGCCCCCTGAGACGTACAGTACTGTCTGGTTGGATCCATCTTTCCTACTCTTCCCACAGACCAAAGAGAGACACATTCCAACCCACTGACACACAAATCGTTACCCGGCAGGAAGAGCAGCCAAACCAAATTCTTCATGGCGAGCTCCAGAAGGGGCCAAACCTGAGAAAAGAGAGGTTGGTTATATCTGTCTCTCATTCACCTTGTTTTTATCGCTACCAAGATCCTCACCAAATGGTAGGATGGGCAAGGAACTGGGCCCATAAAAGTGAGCAACAACCTACCACTTGGCCCCTGTCACAAAGACCCAGGCTGTCCTTTTGTTTTCTGTGCATGGAGGCTTTTCCTAACACCAAATATCCCCAGATTCCAAAAATGCTGGCTATAGGGTAAGGAACAGACCAGCTTACTCTTAGATGACAATGTACCAACCAATCCTGCAGCACTGTCCTAAGGAATGTATGCACTGGACCCTCAAAACAGTATGCAAAATGTGATCGGCAGCACCAGATCTTCCTTAGGATGCAGGTGTTTTTTGCACAGAACAGATGCCAAAACATTCTTCCCGTTCTTGCAGCTGGATTTTAAAAGAATAGCGGGATTCTCAGAAATCCATCCAATGGTCTGCATATGATCTTGGAAGCTCAACTTTCCTCTTCTTTGGCTTCATCAGACCCTTGCAGGACTTTACTACCATTCCCCACATGTTTTAGTTTGTTCCTTTGTTTTGCTGTGATCATCAGGACTTGACGTATACTTCCTCTCATGAAAACGGAGGCATGAAGTGCGAAAGCTACCATAAAACCCAATAATCAAAGGAAGTGAAACCAGCATGCGATGCAGAGGGGAATTCTGTTCCAACGGGGGATTCATAAAAACAACGGAGGGAAAAGCCAATGCAGAATCAGCCCCAGTTGAGAAAATGGGGATTGATAGCTAGATGCAGAATCACCCAGAAAAGGAATAAAGCAATTCTAAAACTGTGATATTTTTGTTACCACTGATTCCAATATAGAAAATAATTGGGAACAGAAAAGACAACCCACCCAGAATCGGCAGGACTTACCTTACCTGTGACTGCATCCATGAAATTAAAAGACACCTGCTCCTTGGGAAGAAAGCTATGGCAAACCTAGACAGCATAATAAAAAGTAGACACATCACCCTGCCAACAAGAGTCCGTATGGTCAAAGCAATGGTATTCCCATTAGTAATGTATGGCTGCAAGAGTTTGACCATAAGAAAGGCCGAGCGCCGAAGAATAGATGCTTTTGAATTATGATGCTTCAGAAGACTCTTCAGAGTCCCTTGGACTGCAAGGAGATTGAATATGTCAATCCTAAAAGAAATCAACCCTGACTGTTCCCTGGAAGGCCAGATACTGAAGCTGAAGCTCAAATATTTTGGCCACCAAATGAGAAGGGAGCGCTCACTGGAGAAGACCCTGATGCTGGGAAAGACTGAAGGTAAAAGAAGAAGGGGACGGCAAAGGATGAGACGGTTAGACAGTGTTATCAAGGCAACGAACATGAAATTAAGGAAACTCCGGAGGATGGCGGAAGACGGGAGGGCCTGACATGCTGTGGTCCATGGGGTCGCAAAGAGTCGGACAACAACAAACTTACCTGTGAACGCTGATGTCCCAAAGATGGTTCTGATGGTACTGCTCACAGTTTGCAAATGAAACTCTTGAAACTGGCACTTTGAGCAAATATAATTCTAAGTTAGCAGAAGTAGAGATTGTTCTCCTTTTTCTATGTTTATCTATATTTAGGAAGGGAGGGAAATTGTGGTTACTGGCATCAAGAATCTATGCCTTCAAACAAAGTTCTCTTTTTTGGATTGCCTTACAGTGGTTGGCCAATCCATTCCATGAATCCAATTCTGCCCCAGCAGACCGTGAAGACCAACAAGATTCCCAGGGTAGAAGCTTTCAAGCGTCACAGCACCCTTCATCAGATGTTCACCAAATGCTTCAATGTGATGCTGGCCCAAGGCAGGGGCTGTGGCAGGCAGAAGCTGTGGATTGCAGAGTCCAGTGAGAGCAGGATGGCCAACCTCCAGGTGAAGTGTGGAGATCTCCCAGAATTTCAACAGATTAGAGTTCAGTTCCCCTGAAGAAAATAGCGGATTTGGAGGATGGACTCTGTAGCATTATACTCTGCTGAGGCCACTCCCCTCCCTAAATCTTGCCCTCTCTAGGCTCCACCCACACATCTGCAGGAACTTCTCAAGAGATGGCAACATAAATGACAGGTGCCTATTATCCTCCCCCAATAGGAAACCTGGCTGAAACAAGGTGCATGTGTGGGGGGGAGAAACAGGCCTGGAGGGGTTCAGATTTACACACACACACACACACACACACAAGTGTCCCTTTAGTTCAGCAGTAAAATTCTCACCTGCCATGGTCAGAATCAGAAAGCCCCTGAACACCAGTGCTTGGAGGCAACACCCAGGAAAGGCTTTGACCTCTGTGCCCTGTTGTAGACCCTCCATAGGAGCAATGTGTGAGACAGGATACTGGTCTGATCCAGTAGGCCTGTTCTTCTTATGTTTCTTGGTGCTCTCAATCATCCCATTTCCCCCCCAACGACGTTTATCACTTGTTTTCTCCCACCTCGAAGTGGCATACATGGATGCTCACAGAAAAAAGTGATTGTCCCCACCAAGGGAGCTCCATAACTCATGGGACTTTTGCACCCAAGTTTCTCCCATCTGAGACTGAATCACTAACCACCATACTACACTGCACCCCCCAATGGCCCTTTGCAGGGACAGAGTTGGATCCAGGTCCAGTAGCACCTCAGAGACCAACAGGAGTTTGGGGGTATAAGTTTTGAAGACTCTGTTTTTCAGAATAGAGTCTGAATGGAGATTCCAGTTAGATACCTGAGATTAAGGACCACAACACTCAAAAACAACATTCCCTCTAAGCTGTGGAGTCCTGTGAGCAAAAATTCTACTTTGTGAGCTACTAGCATTAAAGTTCTGAGCGAGCAATTTGGCAGCTGCATAAATTAGTCTGCTCTGGAGCCAGCCTTCCTGAGCTAAGACAAAAATGTGTGAGCCAGAGGCCAAAAAACTGTGAGCTAACTCACACTAACACATCTTAGAGGGAACACTGCTCAAAAACCAATGGGAGAACATTTCAGTCTTCCAGGTCATTCCACTGCTGACCTAAAAATGGCAGTCCACCAACAGAGAAAATTCAAAGGGAGATTACAACATGAGGTTGCTGAACTGGAGTTCATTCACAAGTTCAGAACAATGGATATCCCCCTGGGCTGAATAAGGGATTCTTATCTCACTACAGATGCTAATTTTAGGGGGGGGCAAGCATTTATCCTCTCCTCTAACCCAGTTGATTACAATGAGCACTGTACCTCAGCGTCCTGCGTTCCTTCTTTGCAACACCCCTCTGACGTTCTGGCTGGGATAGAAGGGCTCAGAGATCTCCATTCCAAATTGTATCTGACGAAGGGAGCTTTGACTCCTGAAAGCTCATACCCTGAAAATCTGGTCCATCTCTGAGGTGCTGCAGGACCCAAATCTAGCTGTTCCACTGCAGACCAACTCAGTTCCCCTCTGAAACTAGGGAGAGACTTGTATTCATAGACAAGGGGCTGCGACTGTCATGTTTGCTCTAATCCAGGGGTGGCCAAACGTGCTTAACGTAAGAGCCACAGCGAATAAATGTCAGATGTCTGAGAGCCGCAAGACATGAACAAATACTACAAGCACTTTTTTATTGGAAACTATGCCAATTTGCTTTTTATTAGCATTAAATAAGACTGCCAAAAATAAAAACAAAAGGAGTAAAAACAGATATTGATAATGATATTTATTTGTCCAATTATATTTATTTGTTTGCTAATAATATTTGTCTAAGAGAGAGAAAGAGAGAGAGAGAGGTGGAATGAAAGAGGTGGAATGAAAGAGAAAGAAACAAAAAAGCAAATAGATGGGGGTAAGAGGGAGAAAGAAGGAAGAGAAAGGAAGGAAGGGAGAAAGAGAAAAAGAGAAGGAAAGGTGGAAAGAAAAGAAATAGATGTGGGAAGGAGGAGGGAAGGAGGGGAAAAGAGAAAGAAAGCAAATAGAGGGAGGGAGGGAAGAAGAGAGAGAACAAAAAAAGAAAGCAAATAGTTGGGGGGAGGGAAAAGTGGAAAGAATGAAAAAGGCTGAAAGGAGAGAGAGAGAGAGAGAAAACAAGTGATAAACGTCGTTGGGGGGGAAATGGGATGATTGAGAGCACCAAGAAACATAAGAAGAACAGGCCTACTGGATCAGACCAGTATCCTGTCTCACACATTGCTCCTATGGAGGGTCTACAACAGGGCACAGAGGTCAAAGCCTTTCCTAAAGAGAGAAAGAAAGAAAGAAAGAAAGAAAGAAAGAAAGAAAGAAAGAAAGAAAGAAAGAAAGAAAGAAAGAAAGAAAGAAAGAAAGAAAATACATGGGGGAGGGAGGGGGAGGTAGTAAGGAAGAGAGAGAGAAAGAAGAAAAAAGGGAGAAAGAAATAAAGGCAAAAATTAAGCAAATAGATGGGGGATGGGGGAGGGAGGAAGGGGAAAAGAGAGAGAAGGAGAGAGAGAGGTGGAAAGAAAGCAAATAAATGGGGAGGCTTTATTTGTGCAAAATCTGCATTTTCGGTATGCTCATGAAACTTGCAAATATGTCTGCCCAGGATTCTCTAAAGTAACATGGCAGGATGATTTATGCAAGAACTGGATCCCAACCTGGAGTCATAGGGAGAGGTAAGCTAAAATGATAGATATTATTTTCAGTTGTATCTTACTTAGATAAAACAGTGCCTTCTTTTCTCTTTAACCTTCCTGAATCATTTACAGGGCAGCCCTAAACAGACTCACACCCTTTAACATCCATTGAAGTCAAAGGGCTCAGTAAAGGTGTAATGCTGCATACAATTGTACTGTCTGACCATATTCAGAAGTGCTCTAGGGTAGCCTTTCCCAGCTTGTGGGTCCCAATGCAGAAATGTGTCATGATGCTCATGAAAGTGGGGCTCAAACTATTCTTGTTTTATTACTTTGTGCATGCTTTGTTTTGTTTTGTTTTAAGTGATCCACCATACCAAGTACATTTGGACTGGTGGGTCACCATGCTAAGTAAATTTGGACTGAAGGGTCACCAGGGCAAGAGTTTGGGAACCACTGGGGAATGTTGGTGTTGTTGGTGTTGTTGCTCCCTAGAATATATACATTAGGAGCAGAACAGTCTTGGAATGTCTTGGGTGCCTATTCCCATGCATTCTTATGCAAGATCCTCTTTGTTCAGCAGAGCAGCAGGAAAACCACTGGGGTGGGGGGATAATTTCTTCCAAGTGATTTGAATAATCACTGTTCACTGAACCATTGCTCTCCATCAAATAATTGGTAGTTTCATGGAATAAATGAATATTTCATTTTTGAAGAAGACATTCTTTTAAATTGATGCGTAATATTTTTTCCCAAAACCTGGATGTTAATGGGAAATCACACTTTAAACAAGAATGGGCAACTATGCCAAGGAATTGAAACTGATGCGGAAAGGGATTGAAATCTGGCTTTCTCCTCTACTGCTTCTTTATCTCACTGGGAACCACGCGAGCCTTCTGCCTTTTTTGAAGCAATGCTTCTTGAAGCTTTTGAGTGAGCTGGACCACTGCAGACGTTAACTCTTGGGAACTATGGATAAACTGGTTTTCTGAAGGGGGAAAAAAGAAAAAGAAATGGGGATATACAGAGCCAAATGACACTTTGCACAGAGATACCATAATCAAACATTTCAAGGTGGGCTCCAAGGTTATGAAGCATCTGGATTGGCACCTTCTTGCAAGTTTCCCAGGTGTAATGCCATCAGGCTCTTAATAACCCTTTAATAACCCTTCAGTCACATCAGACACAGCCAGGCCTGGCTCTTGTTTTAGGCAGGGTGAGCCAGTCAGTCATAGATTTATTATTAAGGGGAAGCAAATTGTCAGCTATTTGGTTATGAAAGGATAGGTTGGTTGTCTGTGCTTTGGGCCACTCCCGTCTTCCATTCTTCTAGCCAATCAAGGAAGACATGGCTATGATTGGAATGTGTGGAACATCTCTCCCAGGCGTGATCTGCTGAGGACAACATAGTTGCTGAGAGACCCAGGTGTAAACGATGAACCAGGACGTGCCTGGTTCAAATTCTACATCTTTCATAAACCCAGTAGATAGCCTTATGCTGCAGTCACACACACACGCTGGGGAATTTCACATTACCCAGTTTCATCCGGTTTCAAGCCGGTAATCATCCGTTTTGAAGTGAACCGGTACAGGGCTGCCATTTCACACATGGCTTGCCCCTACCAGAAATGAGCCGGATCAGAAGCGGTTTGGCATTTCAGACTGCACCGCTTTTTCCCTGCCATCTTTTGCCTGTGCGGGCGATCTGCGGCTTTTTCTTTCTTTTTTTTTTGAACATTCACTTTATAGCGCTATAGCGCTATAGCACTATAACGAAACACTCCAGGAATTCCAATGGGGTTGATATAATGCTTTTCCGTTATAGCGTTATAGCGAAAAACGGTGGGGGAAAAAGCGTAACAGAATCGGGAGAGGGAACTGAAGACTACTCGGAAGTGGTTGACAGGTAAAACGCTTCAGTTCCGGTTCCTAAACGGGACAGA